CCACTGAAAGGCTCTTCTCTTGCACACCCCCACAGAACCGCCCACACATAATGCCCATCTGCTTATCTATCTATAGCCGCGATAGCGGCCCCTGGCTCCCCCCCTGATCGAGCCGCTGAGCAATGGCGTTAGCGAACCCGAGGCCGCCACTCTCCAAAGCACGCAGCTCATTTACCCACGTCTGACGCTTTAACCACCTGGTGCACACACACACACACACACAGACACCGCCTCACCAGGCATGGCATGCTGTGGTCTCAGCATCCACCCACACGTACCCGTATACGGATCTGTTCTCGCCTTTCGGCGCCACGGTCTTGGCAAACTCAACAGCGGCAGACTCCAGCCGATCTGTCACTCACGCACCACCCATGCAGCCATACGGCAGCAGGAGACGATGGGAGTGTGCGTATGTTTCTCAGCCCGTGTGTGTGTGTGTTGTTGGTCGGCCATCCCATCCCATCCACCTCACCTGGTGGTGCTGTTGCGTGTATCATTTGCAGCTTGAGGGCGTCGGCTGCCGTGAATCTCTTGGCTCTGAGGATCATGTCGGCCCAGAGGGAGCGGTCCACCTTGGCCGTCACTACAGCCGCCATCCCAGGCGTCAACGGCAGACCTGCACACATCACATCCAACACACACACACACACATACACATCGATCGATAGATAGGCACGCAGACACAGAAGCAAAGCTATGGATCCATCCCACCCACCGACTCGACTCACGTCACGTACCGAGGTCGACTTCATTGACGCATATCCAGCCTTTGGCGCTGTTCATGACCCGCCAGTCGCAGCAGAAGGCCAACATGGCACCGCCCGCAAACTGCACCAACCAACCACCGACACAACCACATAGACAGACAGACAGATACACACACACCGACCGACACGGAGAGAGAGCGAGGGTGTGCTGTGTGTGTAGCTCACGGCGTGTCCGTTGATGGCGGCGACCGTGGGTACTGGGAAGGACATCAGGCGGGCCATCACTGACACACACACACACACACGCACAGACAGACAGACAGACAGATAGACAGAGAGATCACTCCCACACTCACGTGGATCAGCTCACGTTTGTGGAAAGTGGTGAGGAGTCTGCCCGGCTCGCTGCTGAGTGCCTCGAACTTGAGGCCGTTCGAGAAGAACTTGCTGCCGCTCTTGCCCGTCAACACCACTGCTGCCGCACCCTCTGAAGCCTCTGCAACACACACAAAAAATGGCTGCCTCTGGATCTTTGCCGCAGCCCTCCCTGGTGGTGTGCAGTGCGGCGCTTCGTCACAGCCCACTCACTCACCTATTTGGTCCATGACTGCGTGCATGGCATCGATGAATTGGAAATCCACCCTGTTGTCTGTGGTGGCCATCCGCACCACAAACACCTCTTCGCACGGACGCTCCACATCTATCAACGACATCCTCACTCTGCAAACCAGCTGCAGAGAGATCGCGGGATGTGCGAGCTGAGAAGAACGAAGAGGAGATGGAGGGTGTGCAGCCTGTGAACGGCAGCGGCCCTGCGTGTCCGCTGCGGGTGAAGCTGCTCACACTGATGTTCGTCTGCGACAGAGATCACGAACAGGTAGGATGGGAGATCTCGCCAGGTAGCGGGTGACAGACAGACACACACACAACGCCCAATGGATGGATGGATGCATCCACGCATTCACTCACAAAGAGCCGTGTGCCACGCGGCTGTCTGGTCCGTGGTGCGAGTGCAGGTGCTGCTTGGCATGAAGAAGAGGGGCTTCGGCAAAGGTCAGCGCACCCATGGATGGATCACATGAGGGGTGCACTCACTCATCAATCATTCCTGTGTCTGCCTGCCCTGCCCTGCCCTGCCGTGCAGGCAAGTGGAACGGGTTTGGAGGAAAGGTTGAGCCGGGCGAGTCGGTGGCACAGGCAGCCGTGCGGGAGCTGCAGGTGGGTGGCTGGGTGTGGGCATCACACGGATGAGTGGATGCAGTCACATGGATATGTGTGTGTGTGGCTGCCGTGCGCAGGAGGAGTCGGGTGCGCTTGTGGAGATGGCTGACGTGCAGACGGCGGGGCTGCTCGACTTCACATTCGACGAGTCCAACGAGATCATGCGCGTGGTGAGTGTTGAGTGGTGCGTTGGTCGGTGGTGGTTGGTTGGATGGATTTGTGTGCATTCCTTCATTCCTTGTGACTGCAGTTTGTGTTCCGTGCTGACAACTATACCGGCGAGATCGCAGAGTGAGCTACAGGGAGAACCGAACCGTCGGATACACGGAAACACACCAGCACACACGCGTGTGTGCGTGTCTGTTTCGATCACTCAGGACGGACGAAATGCGTCCGCAGTGGTGGTCGCTGAGTGAGTGCCCATTCGACAACATGTGGCCAGACGACAGGTACATCCACCCACCCACCCACACCCACCCACATCCACACCCACAGGGCTGTGTGTCTGGCAGGTATTGGTTCCCATACATGTGGGGCCGGCGGCCCTTCGTGGGCAGTTTCCACTTCAAGGCCGACGAGAAGACCATCGTCACGCACACCATCGAGGCCACGACCGTGGAGCACATCGACACGAGAGCTCGCGAGGAGGCGGACAGAAAGAGGGCCGCGACGGCCAATAGCTGAGCAGACGCCCTCCTCCAACACACACAGACAGATACATGAACGCATTTCTGTGTATACGATGGAGGGAAGAGGGCGGTTTGGATAGCTGTATAGACGGCGGATTCTGAGTGAGAGAGAGAGAGAGAGACATCAAAGCCTCTATTGCATTTCGGTGGATGATGGACAGGCTCGTGTATCATGACGACGATGTAAGCACGTTGTGCAGCAAGTACACAGAGAGAACTCCTAGCAGCGTCCTGACTATATCTGACAAGGAGAGGAGAGCTCTATGTGCGGCTGATCTGATGAGCAGGGTGTCCAACGTCAGCATCCGCCACTTGAATGAACGCCCGGTGTCACCTATACACACACAGCACGTCGACACATGATCATCTGCACGCACCTGCCTGTCTGCCTGCCCACCGAGTGTGTAGCAGTGGCTGAGTGCGATTCTGTATTGCTTAGCGAAGCCCTCACACCGAGTCTGATCCAAATACTCGGTGATCGTCGCATTTGGGGAATTAGAGTCCTATCACACACACACATGCACAGACAGCACACACAGACACAGACGCAGACACAGACACAGACACAGACACAGACACAGACACACAGAGACAGACAGACAGACACGATACATCCATGTCTCTGGCTGCCTTCTCACACTCTCACCGATCCCAGTGAATATCTCTCTGCGCCACTGGCGAATCGGAGACACTCGCCGTCGGCCGGGTAGACATATTCTATAAAGGGGATTCCACTACAGTCCACAGACTCAAAAAATGATTGCTGCAACCGGCGTACATTGGAACACCTGCACACAGACACAGACAGACAGACAGAACCATTCCTCTCTGTTCCACCCACCCATCCGCCCACGCCCATCCCGACTAACTCACTGTGTGTTGCAGGTGGGTGATCTGTCGAGCAGCGAGTACACGGCATAGATGTTTTCAGAGGGGAGCAGCACCGAGCACGTCCCCACGACGGGCTTGATGACGGCCGTCGTCGTCACGCAGTGGTCCGAGTACAGCCGCACCTCCACCTGCGCCGTCACGCCATAGGAGGGGGGCACTGACACGACCACAGAGTAGGCCGACGAGGTATTAGACGCCCCTGGGCCAGCAGCAGCAGCAGGAGCAGACGGTGACGCCGTCGCATTACTGCCAGCGAGTGTTGAGACGGCAGGTGGGCCGTCCGCTATCGTGTTGGCATAGCACGTGGTGGGGATCATCCTGACAGAGGACGGAGACGCCAGGGGCTCCTGGCAACGGTTCTCTGCGAAGAGAGCGGCCTGGATGTCGTAGAGCTGCGGCGCGGCGCTCTTTAGCAGTGCAAAACTGCAGAACAAGGATAGAGCACGGCCCCGACTGATGATAAGGCGCATCTGAGAGGAGATTGGCTGCGGAAACCGGGGGAAAAGAGTCGAGCGATTCAGGCTTGCGAGCTTGGCGCGCGAAACGGAAGAAGGAATCTCTCGAATAATGTGGCGCAAGACAACATCTGACCGCGATGTTGAGGACACGTGGTACTTCAAGATGCCCAAAGTTGAGCTCCACTGCCACCTGGAAGGTTCGTTCCCATTCTCACTGGTACGCATCTGCAAATGTCGCCTCGCCATGACAACGAGCATCTCTCTGTTTAATTGTGCGTGCGTGTGTGTGTGATGCAGGTGGTGGATGAGTACAGGCGGCAAGGCATCCCTCTGCCGTCTGATGATGAGGCCGCGTTGCGTGAGTACTTCTTGATTGAGAGGCCTTCGAGCATCTCGACGGCTTCCTGGACAAGTTCGCCCATCTGCAGAAGATCTTCGGCGACCTGGATGCCCTCGAGAGGCTGACGACAGTGGCGGTGGAGGGCAAACACAACGAGGGCGTCAAGCTGCTGGAGCTTCGGTTCGCCCCCACGTTCATCGCACATGGTATGGTGAGGGGCAGCCGATGAAATGGATGGACCGAACCAACCCACCAGTTGTGGATGTGTGGCATTTATTTGCTGCTCTCCGCTGTCCGTACGTCCACACAGGCTGGGGCCAGTCCTTTTCGTCCATTCTGTCGGCCATTCAGCGGGGCGTCAAGCGGGCCTGCGAGAGGTGTGAAAATGGCATCCACGTCGGCCTCATCTGCATCGCTGTGGGCGCGTCGGGCCACCAGGAGTTCGACCGC